ATAATTGCTGAAGTTTCCCCTTTAAAGGAGGTCTTCCCTTTAAGAAAAAAACTTCCCCCTTAAGGAAGAGAAAAGAAAACAGCAGAAAGGGGGGAGGGGCGAGAAGGTTCTCAGCGATCTGCTGTTAACAGCAGGAGGCCACAGGTGACAGTGGCAGCTCTTAGTAGCACAAGCCATTTTTTTTAAAGTCCTGAGGGCAGGGCTATTGTATTTGCCCCGCAGAGCCATTTGAAAAGAAGGGGGAGGAGAGGACCCATGTGGCCCAAGATGGCGGACCCCTGCAGCTCGGAGGACACAGGCACAGAAGAACCTCCAATCAGGTTAGAGATTACCCCTGAAGGTCCATCCAAGGGTGGGGGCAACTGGACTGCTATCATGTCTCCCCTGGTTCTTCTTTCCATTAAACTAGATCATGCCCAGTTCCTGCAACCGTTCCTCATATGTTTTAGCCTCCAGTCCCCTCATCTTTGTTGCTCTTCTCTGCACTCTTTCTAGAGTCTCCACATCTTTTCTACATCGTGGAGACCAAAACTGAATGCCATATTCCAAGTGTGGCCTTACCAAGGCATTATAAAGTGGTGTTAACACTTCACGTGATCTTGATTCTATCTAAATCTAAGATTTAACTGAATGAAATGTATGGAAAGTAAAGGCAAAGTCGTGCAAACTGCTGGAATCTCTCGCCCACTTTGATTCTATTTCTTGCAGATGCGATGAAGACATCAACGAATGCGAAAGAGAGGAGTGTGAGAACGGGGGCTCTTGCGTCAACGTATTCGGTTCCTTTCTGTGTAACTGCACCCCCGGGTTCGTGGGCCAGCATTGCGGACTAAGACCCGTGGTGGTTCCTAATATCCAAGCTGGCCATTCTTACGTGGGCAAAGAGGAATTGATAGGCATCGCCGTTGTCCTTTTCATCATCTTTCTGTTGGTCGTCCTCTTCATTGTCTTCCGCAAGAAAGTTTTCCGCAAGAATTATTCTCGCAACAACATTACTTTGGTCCAAGACCCAGCTACGGCTGCTCTGCTCCACAAAAGCAACGGCATCCAGTTCAAGAACATGAGGACCAGCGGTGACAGCCGCAACATCTATCAAGAAGTTGGACCTCCTCAAGTCCCCGTGAGGCCGATGGCCTACACACCTTGCTTCCAGAGCGAGTCAAGGAACAATTTGGACAAGATAGTTGACGGGCATGGGGTGGAACATCAAGAGATGACAACCTTCCATCCGGAATCCCCCCGGATCCTGACAGCAAGGAGGGGTGTGGTAGTCTGCAGTGTGGCCCCCAACTTACCCGCTGTATCTCCCTGCCGTTCTGATTGTGACTCCATCAGGAAGACCTGGGAAAACGGCAATGAAAGTAAGTCACGTCCCTTCAACTTTTTTTTTAATTTGCATTTCTTTCCTCATTGTCATTTTGGCCTTATAAAGGTAAAGGTTCCCCTTGCACATATGTCCTAGTTGTTCCCGGCTCTAGGGGGCGGTGCTCATCGCCGTTTCAAAGCTGAAGAGCCAGCGCTGTCCAAAGACGTCTCCATGGTCATGTGACTAGCATGGCTCAATGCCAAAGGAACATAGAAAGCTGTTCCCTTCCCACCAAAGGTGGTCCCTATTTTTCTACTTGCATTTTTAAGAGCCGAGATGGCACAGTGATTAGGGTGCAGTACTGCAGGCCACTTCAGCTGACTGTTATCTGCAGTTCGGCGGTTCTA